CTTTTAAAAATAAGAAAGTAATCTGTCGTGTTGTCAAAACGGACATGATACCCATCTAATTAGGTTAAGTACCTAGAATTTTAAAATAGATAACCCTAGTGAACTACCTTGGCGTATGCGCATGAAATACATGAGCATTAGAAGCAAGAGTGTCATGCGCTCTGGACGAATATTGATATCTGAACAGGTGAAGCATATGAAAAAAAAAGTTCGCCTAGGAAATGATTTTCCTCAATAATTGTGTGCAGCTTTTCAAGCCATTTGATAAAGCAATGAACCCTTGACTCTGAGTTCTATCAGATTTTCAGGACTTCAGTGATGATCTTAGAGGTTAAATATAAATTTCTGGAATATCATTTGCTATTATAAAAGTTCTGAGAATTCATGGGATTCCAGGGATTCCCGGATTCCCAGAATCCCACCGGAATCCCGAGAATCCCATTGGAATTCTGGGAATCCTGGGAATCCTGGATCCGCCTTTTCCCCCTTGGGATATCCTGTCAGTCGAGCTATTAAAATCCGAACGTTTTCTCGATTAAAAAAAGTCCATGTGCGACAGCATATATGCTGTAGTCTGTACATACTAAAGCAGGTTTAACCCGAATGAGTCAGATTTAAGGAAGAGAAGTACTAATGTACATGCGTTGATATTTTGGGAATCATCGATAAAGGAATCTTAGCTGATGAAATCACAATTGTTCTGGTGAAACACCATGATAAATTAGTGTCAAATCAATGCTATATGGCGAGGCAGCTGGACACACACACACCCATACAAACTGTACAGAACATGTCTGTCATGGGTTGTGACGCTTTCGAGATTTTTTCTCTATGTTCATCTATGATTCCGACACGAACGACGATAGACATGGTGAGGTCTCTTTATCACAGTGAAAGTGTCTCAGTTGTGTTTTACTGGTTAATCCCGGGTAGTATTACACTGGGACTTTTTCATGCGGTTGGGTCCTACCTCTCAATTTCTATATCCAGTTCATTTTTTACCCATCGATATACTTTTCTCGCTTACTGATATGACCCGAAAAAGCACCTTATCTTAAAATTGTAGAATCCATTGATTTCATTTGCGAAACAGAGAAGAGTCATGAGTAAAAAATAATTTGCAATAGAATCCTAGAAATTGATGGGCATATTAATTAGTTATGCTCTATATCTCTCTTTCAATTTCAACCTATTTTACGTACCTTGTGAAGCCCTATATTGTGAAGGTGCAGCTGAGGATCGGCCGGTTGTTAAAAATACCGTCTCTCCACAATTGCTATGATAATACGGCATTTGATGACATTCTGTTTCCATCCCAACCGCACGAGCAACGTCCGTCAAAATTTGCTGAACATTAGTGCTTGCTCTTGACATGTGCTGAATCAGGTGGTATGTATATGCCCCATACTGACCATGATTTGAGTAATCTCTTGCAACTGTATTCTCTCTGTGCAAGAAAAAGCAATTATTGTTGGCACTGACGATGCTGAATTCCAATAGTCAGTCTTTATTTCTGCTGCCCTCATGGGAACAGGACCACTTCTTAAACTGATCGATTTACCATACGAAGTACTCGCTGAATTCGATCTATTCAGTAGATATTCTCGACAACAATCAAGAATGAATAATAACAATTTGGGTCTTTTTTTAGATATCACTTCTATCAAAGTTTGAGCATCTAAAGCACAGTTTTGGATATTGCTTTCTCCAGGTTGATCTGCATTAGTTGTCATCAAGTAGTTCACGCCATTGCATTGGCAACCATGACCGGAAAAATAGAATAAAACAATGGCACTCCTTGTAATTGACTCTACAAATTGGTTGGCAGCTGAGACCATAGCATTCATGTTCAGATTCGTGCGGCACTGTACATCAAAACCAAGACGGCGTACAGTTTGAGACAACCCATTGGCGTCATTTACACAATTTCGTAAAGATGCTCCTGGGTATTTATCATTACCAATAATCAACGCTCTTTGGGCATTTCCCATTTGTAGTTGTAAATAAGAACCACGGATGAATCAATAATGGAAAAACTTTCAAAATCAATGTTCTAAAAGAGAAAAAACAAGTCAGAGAGATTTCCAAACCGAGAGGTAAGAGTGCTGGGTGCCGCTGTGCGTGTTAATTGCAATGATATGCATAGACCCGCACCCTCAAGGATTCGTGCATAGCGTTATTCATTTGAAGAACAAAAGCAAAAAGGTATTCATAGCGTCTTGGTATTTACCAACATAATATAACCAAGTAAATTGTCGTCTGATTCATTTTCTTTATTTTTCATGATCAAGGACGATTACTCTCAAGATATCAAGCATGACATGCGTTCGTTAACTAGCTAAAATTCGTATTAAAATTCTCAGCTAGCTCATGTAATCTATTCAGTTTGACAGTATTTATGTTTTAAAAATAGGTGTCTTTGCCAACAAAATTCAACGTGTAAATGCAGCCAAGCTTAAAAATAGAACTTTACGTGAGTGACTGTAGAATATTTCCTCTTGATCGTCATGTATAGATTATGAAACGTACAATCCTTCATTTTTAAAAGCAAGGTAAGCAAATATAAGTGAAAAAAACACATTATTTCTTCCGACTAAATATTTAGTATGCTTTGTTTTGGTCACTACCTAACGAGGAAACATTTCCAGATGATTAAAACCAAACGTGCTCATATTTGGTGGGTAGTCAGATGCTGTTTCATAAACATCAAACCTATAAGGGTTTGTGTCATTGCTGCTTCGTTGCAGAGATATGAGTATCAGAAATAGTACTATAGGTGACGCCACATTCAATGTGCGATTCCGTTAATTTTGAACTTTAAGGAAAATATTATTTTATTTGGAATATCTCATTTTTATTTTTATTTTTATGTCTTTATTTACTTTTCACTGTGCGATTCTTAACTTATGTGTGCTGTATTCAATGGGATAACAGTTGCTACTTTCGAAATCTCCTTTATTCTGTTTGTCTGTCAGTTGATGTATTATTGTTACGCTGCCTCTTTTTGAGTCGGATAAGAAGAGAAAGAGAAAGAGAAAATTGAAAATTCTTTTTCGTAAATTTTATTGAGCGAAAAAGGAAAGCAGTGTATAAAAAAATGCAATAGAAATAAAATGATTGTTCAAAAACAATTACTTACTGGAGTCTAATGATAATGATAGTTTACAAAAAATGACCAAAGCAAAGTTCTTGCTGGCACTACGAACAACGAATTATTTGACCGTTTATGCATTCTTCCACGCAACATTTATCTTTTTCAAATGTAAAGCAAACGTCTTTCACGTTTTGAAATGGGTCGGGATCAGTTTTTAAATATCCACTCCTGTACCACACGTATTTAATCATTGATTCGAAAGCTTTTGATTTCATTTGTGAATGCACAAGTGAATGTAATTTAATTACATTGTTACGTTCGGCCAAATTAATATGGATATCGTCGAGTCGTACATGGTTGAAGACGCGTCGTAGAATCATCTTGCATTGTCGATTAAAATAAACATCTAGTGGTTGAATTATTGAAGTAGTTTTCGGTGGTATCCCTAGTGAAACATCTTGTAAGTAAGATCTTGAAATCTTGGGATTGGTAGGTAACATCTTATCAAGATCTTTGAAAGATAATTCGCTTGTTCAGATCTTGTCCTATCTGATAAATCTGTACCTAAGATCTTAGCAGGATCATGGCAACGATTTCTTTTACTATTATCTTCTCACAAGATCTTGAGTAAAACAGAAAGCGACATCATTACCCAGGTCGAACAAACTGACACTAAGATCAGGTATGAATTCTTGTATGATCATATCCGATTTTAGTTAAGAATCATATATGATCATACAAGATCATTCGGAAAATCGTACGAAAAATCGTCGTCGCTGACATCTGATGTCAGATCTTACATCCGATTTCGTATATGATTTAACAGTACGATCTTACGTATGATTATATAAATTGATACAGGGTGATTATAAGCCATTTCTTTATAAATATCCAACATTGAATATTTTTACGCAGCCGCGCAACTACAATTCTACCCTGAAAAACGACAACCGTACGAAACGTGAAAAGGGTTCCGAAAATTACTGCGAATTCGAAATCATTTTAGGTTCCGTGCAAACCAGGTTCTCCGCGAACCCTTTGTCGAAAACGTCAAACATAGGGTTTCTCACACTGCTCTGTCTACTCAATGTAATAAATTAGTTAGAAAGCTCTGTCTAGCAAACGTCGGTTCCTAGGAAACCCTTCTGGGGTTTCAGGGCTTTCATTCTCCCCCTTCTCATTCGAGAACAACCCGATCGTAACACCTCAGGGCAACAATGCGCGATTAGCTCCTGCAGAAACTAGCGGTCAGAACGATCGATATGGAATGCTTGTAAAGTTATTTTTTAACGGTTGACTCTTGTACCCCTTTATTGAAGAAAACACTCCATCATATATACTATATGAAAAAATCAGACAGAGAGATAGTTAGTACTAGAGAGAAAGAGGGATAGAAAGAGTTATTACACAGAACAATATATGTTCCTTTGACCTGTGACAAGAGACATAAAGAGAGAACTACATCGGAGAAGAATAGAAGTGATGATATGATCTCACGAAAGGTGAGGATCATAACACTACTTTATCTAAACAGAAATAAATTATTTCAAGAGGTTTTAGCTTTGAAAATCGTACTTATCATTATTTCTACTGGCTCTGCAGTGAGATCTAAATGAAAATAAATTACTTCACGAGGTTTTAGCTTTCAAAATCGAACTTACCTTTTATGTTTGATCATATGACACTTGAACTCAGGTGAAATGAAAGACATAATAATGGTCTGTTTGATTCATCTCATTATTGACTGAGTAAGGGATATCTATTTTGCGTAGATAGTTGCATCGATAGCACTATTATATTAATTATCTCTCTGAATAGCAACTGAAATTTTCCCGTACTTGCCAATGTAAGAAACAAATTTTAATGTAAGAAAATCAATTTGTGTTTTTTATGCATTTAGTTTCTGACTATGGGAAGCTTGGATCGAAAAAAAAGACGACGGATTTGTTTTCCAAGACCTCGATAACCTATTGTGAAGTTCGATCAAAACGCAAAAAGGAGTTGAAATAAAAAATCTACGTTTACACTTTTTGAGTTTGGGGTGTATCTATTTTCTGACCAATGGGAGCTCGCCATGAAAAGCTGATTATATATTCGGGTTGCTGCACCTCGATAACCTATTGTGAAGTTTCATCAGAATACAGAAAACAGTTGAAATAAAGTCTTATTTGCCAGCGGTCTAATTTTGTCGGTGTAAAATTTCTGCTAAGATATTAGAAGGTTGAATTCAAGGGGGGAACAGCAGAATCCATGAATCCATGAATCCACTTGAATTCACTTGAATCCGCTCTGATATGAAATTCTTAGAATTATAAAAATATAATAGTTTTCATTTTCTCAATTCTCTATTGAAAGGAGACAGAAAAATTTAACAAAAAGAATATTTGCGAAGACTGCAGGAATCAATCAATGAATATTTATATTAAAGAGTGTTTTTATTATCAATAATTATATTATTTATTTGTTTAAAAACCAACTGTGAAATGTAAAAACAAATCAAACGGACATAAAAGTATAAAAACTCAATACTTGATAGAACCGATTAACTATAAAAGAAAAAATAAGTGAATTATTAAATTAAACACATCAATTTAATATAAAACCTTACTATACAAGAGAACACGAAAGAAGTGATCGAAGAAGTACAAACAAGGCAATGTTTGGCATATAAAAATTATTTTCTTCTTGTTCTTCTTGCTGATTCTCTTGTCTTATGTAAAGATTATATTGTTTGAACTTTTCTTTTCGCTTGTCTTTTAGTTTTTAATGATGATGGTTGTTCGATAATGTTAATACGTATTAATATCATAAGTTTCATCTTCTGTTGATTTGAATATAGAAAATACTGTGCTTGAAGTTGAATTCGATTGTACTGTATCTGATGGTACTATAATAGGTATCAAATTTGGTGATGCAATTTGTTGAAGTACATTATCTGATGTGGTCAATGGCTGCTGATGGTGATAATGATGAAGATAATAGAAAAACAGCTGATCTTAGTATTAATGATGGCTTTCATAAAATGATGATTACGATGATGAGGATGAATAAGATGATACTCGAAATTTAATAAATACAACAAAAGAAGAATTTTCTGGAATGAAAGTTTTTAATATGGCGCATCCACATATAGAGCATTGTTATTTTAAAGCTTCAATCAATGATGATATAAAATATATACATAAACAGACTGCTTGTTGGTTATATAACTGGTGAAAAAAGAAAAATGTCAAACGATCGACTGTTTCGAGTTAGAGCTCATCGGGTCCGGCTCCGGGTCCAGATTAAAAATATTTTAAACTACTGAGTCAGATCACAAGAAAATTTTTATGCATGTAATTGAGTGAAGATGAAGCTGATGCTGTTGATGTTGGAGTTGTCTCAGTTAAGAAACAATATAAACACTTTAATACATTCATTCCTAATTCCATCCGAAGCTGCACACTACTAGAGAGTCGCTAGGAGTCAGAGGCCATTGTAAATTAATTGTTAAAAACTCTTTATCGAATAGTTGACAGAGCGTGTAAGATGTACTACTTACATGACAAAAAATGACAGAAGTATGCCGTGCCTTCGGAACGATCGCCAGATTCAATTAGAAAATTTTATTACAAGTTTAAGAGTATGTTTTGTTCCAGATCTATTTTTGATTAATAAACTAGGTATTTGTCAAGAATGCCAGCTTAACTTTACTTTGAAGTTGAAAGAAGTATGATTAAAATTTGCATTCCAAAGAGGTAAAGTTCAAATAGATTCTTTCATTGAAAGAAATTTTCTGTTCAGAACTATTTGTGTTTCATCAAAAAATAATTTTAACACAAGAAAGATTTTCTGAAAAATTTTTTTCTATAAAATATACTTTAAATTTTGACTTTTTAGAAAGTTAAACTTGAAAATATGCTTGTTTTAGCTTTAAATTTATAGATTAAAGTTGAGGTACGCTAAACCCCCTCCCATAATAGAAACCCCTTTTAAGAAACTAATCTGTTTCCTATAAGAACACCATTTTTGAAAATTCTGATAGTTTTTGCGTGATACAATTTGGTGGTTCTTCTAATACACTGTAAAAAAAAGGGTAGAATAATAAACCCTTTAAGGGTTTATGAAAGTGCAACGTAGACTAAACCCTTTTACCGTATGTG